ATAGATTCATTTCTTTTCATCAAAGATTAATTATCAGCTGGTTGTAGATTCTTCCCGGACCCTGGGAGGGGACTATCGAGGGGCTGGACCCCCATAGTCCCCGATAACCTTGAACTCTGATACTGTTCTCTCCACCTCCAAAGTGCTGGGATCACAGCACAGGCTGCCACAGCCAGTTCCTACTTTTGATATTGGGCCCCTTCTTGCTTAATATGCTATTAGCATTTTGTGTCTTCCAGACGTAACCAGGTCCATCAACATGATGTTCACTACTGGATTCTCAATCCATCTTAGACCAAGCACCTACACCTTCTTCAGAATTCTTCCCATTGAGTCAAACATCAAGAGACTTATAGCCGGGCATGGTAGCACACGCCTTTAATCTCTTGGAAGGTAAAGGCAGGTGAATCTCAGTAAGTTCAATGCCAGCCTAGTCTACATAGCGAGTTCCAGGACAGCCAGAACGACATAGTGAGAGCCTGTCTCAAATATAAAATAAAATAAAAAGATTTCTATAATGTCCAAAGATCAGTAGAGTGAACACTATTGAATAGTCAACTTGAACCATTATATATAAGATAAAGGACCTCCACCCCACTCCCCAGTCGAAGTTGAAGGGAAAGTTGGGGGAGAGTGAAGTAGATGAAGACCCTCATGGAGACAAGAGACAAACAGATTCTTGATTTTTTAATAAATATTCTATGAAAGTAAAAATGCCTCCTCCTTCATCAATACTGTGTGAGATGTGTCCTTCCTTGTTTTTCTATTCTTATCACAAGGACGAAACTCTGCTGTTTCCACACCTGAACTGATCACTGATCTGTATCTAAACGTGACCAAAAAAAATTCTTACATGGGAAATAAATATTTTAATTATGTGTTTCTGTGTGTATGTGTGTGCACATGCACATGCGCTCAAATGCATACGTGAGTGCAGCTGCCCTCAGAGTCTGCAAGAGGGTGTCAGATCCCCCAGAGCTGAGATTACATAGAGTTGTGAGCCACCCCTGTGGGTGCTGGGGAATGAATCCTGGTCGTCTGCAAGATCAGTGTACAGTCTTAATGGCTGAGCCATCTCCCAGTCCCAAAAAGTCTTTTTTTTTTTTTTTTAAGTAAGTACCATCCTCATGCCTAGTGGAAAATTACCAAATGAAAAGTACTTAACAACCCCGATAAAAGTGTCTATTTCTTCCTCTGATTTGGGACAACTTCAATCTCTCGTAATCAGTGCCATCCCCTTCTCCTTGACCCACTTTTCCTTTTCAAAAGTTTTTCCCTGAGAGTCTGTGTTCTATGACTCATCTGTCATCTCTCCAATCATCGGGAGCATAAGTCAATTGCCTTGTATCTTTTACTGTGAGAGGGCCTAGTCAACACATGACCACACTCTTGATATTCAGAAACTATAAACTTGTGGGGGGATTCTACTCTGCATTTTGTTTTTGAGATTATAATTACATCATTTTTCTCTTCCCCTTCCCAAAGCCTCCCATATACCCCTACTTGCTCTCTTTCAAATTCATGACCTCTCTCTTCATACTAACTATTGGGGTGTGTGTGTGTGTGTGTGTGTGTGTGTGTGTGTGTGTGTGTGTGTGTGTGTGTGTTACTAAATACATACGCATGCAGCCTGCTCTGTTGGTATAATGTTACTTGTATGTTTGTTTTCAGGACTGGCCATTTAGTAACTTGGATGCCCATCCCTGAGGAAGACTCTTTCTCCCACTCTCAAAATCCCTTAGTCGCCTGTGGTTCATTGTGCAGAATTGAGGTCTCATGTTAGCATGAGGCCAATTCCCTGTCCTTGTTAAAATGTCTATTGGTGCCATCCTTCTTCAGCTGATGTTTGGGCAGTTATGTTGGTGATACTTTATGGGCGTAGCTTCTGACATTCCAAGGAGACACACAGAGGTTTCCTAGTGAGAACTTAACTCAGGGTCCAAGAATCTGAGCATGCTTTACCCAGCAGGGCTGTACAGAGGGTGGTTTGACCACGGGCGTGGTTACCAGGTGTTTGGAATGATCTACACTTGGCTGTGCAGTGTGCTTTGATCTAGCAAGGGGGAGGTCTTTTGCCCCACCCCTTGATGTTGTTATAAAAAGCCCTTTAGAAGAGTCAGAAGGGGCCACTGGGTTTTGACCCAGGTCCTCCCAAAGCTATCCTGTGTTTCTGTCTGTCTCCTCTTCACTATCTTTCTATCTACTATTTTCTTATCCCTCTCTCCTCCTCATAGGAACCGGGAAAAGGTGGGAGCTGGTCTCCCACACACACTATTCCTCCGGCTCTTACAATCTTTCTGCCCTCTCTTCCACAACGATCCCTGAGTTGTGTTCAGGAGTTAGTTGTGTTGTATGTAGATGTATCAGTTGGGAGTAGGCTCCACAACTCTTCACTTTGATTAGTTGTGGTTTTCTGTAATGGTCTCAGTCTGTCGAGAGGAGATATTTCCTTCATGAAGAACGAGGACTACACTTCTCCATGGGTATAAAGACAAATATTCAGAATGAGGTTAGGAATATTGCTGTCTTAGTTAAAAAAAAAAATAAAGTGTTGGTTGTATGTTCTCCCCCAAGATCCATGACTTCACATTTCCTGGGTAGTTGGCTAGTTTCCAGTAACTTGCATCATTTTAAGCCATTAAATGGACGGTGATTTTTGTGCAGCAATACAAGTCACATACTGCTTCCTTAGCCAGAGGAGGCTGGGATACACTGTTTAACAGCTAACGGAAGTTTTGATTTGTGGTACGTGGGTGTAACTCCGTAAGTGCCATTGACTTGTCACTCAAGAATGGATGCTGGGATAGAGAAGAAAAAGTATCCACCTCAAAAATATTCTCTAGGGCTGAGGAGATGGCTGAGAGGGTAACTAGCTTACTGCACATGCTTCAGATCCCCAGGGACCCAGCAACCCCAGAGCTGGCTGGGCCTGGGGGTAGAGACCGGCAGCTGGGGGCGGGGGCACTGCTTGGTGGCCAGGCAATCTAACCAATAGGTGTGTGGCATTTGAATGCGCATGCCCCTATAGGCTCATAAATCTGAATGCTTGCCCTAGTTGATGAGACTATTTTGGGAAGGATTAGGAAGCATGACTTTGGTGGAGGAGGTGTGTCACTGGGGGTGGGCTTTGAGGCCCAGTCAGGGTCAGTCTCTCAGTGTCTCTCTCTCCCTCCCTCCCTCTTTCTCTGCCTCCAGATTTCAGATAAGATGTAAGCTCTCAGCTACTGCCTCAGTGCCTGCCTGCCTGCCTACTGCCATGCTCCCCACTACGATGGTCACAGACTAACCCTCCGAAACAAGCCCCCAAGTAACTGCGTTCTTCTATAAGTTGCCTTGGTCGTGGTGTCTCTTCACAGCCACAGAAAAGAAACAGAGACAACGTAGGTTCAAGGTTCAGTTGGGAGACTGGGTCAGAATATATTTGTATGAAAAAAAAAATTATTTTCAATTAAGAAAAAAGATGGGGAATGAAAAGGGAAGACTCCAGATGTCCTCTCTGACCTACACGCACACATACCACACACATGTAGGCATGCATCCACCACACATCAAAATAAATAAATAAATAAATAAATGATCTGACATCACATACACCTTCAACGTTCATCTCTCAGCTCTCTTCTGTTAGCTTTGTTCACTGCCACACACAGACTTCTTTATTCCACTGTACCAGAGACTAACAGAGAACATGTGAAGTTCTCACTGCATGGTGAGAACGTTTAAAATAATATTGTACGCTGTAACCCTGAATCTGCCATTTGTTAACTATATAACCCTTTCCCCAAACAACGCATGGGTCAGAGTTTCCCCTGTATAAATGAACCCACTTATTCTTAGCAAGGTGATGGTCACAAACAGGAGAAAAGGGATGCCTGGGAGCGTCAGGAATCATTCGTTCCCGCGCCGTCTGGGGCCCCTCCTGTACCCCCAAACCATCACCTCCAACAATTCACGCTTGGGGTCCCCCCGGGTCGGACGCGGCCCCGGCGCGGTGTGACACGACTCGGGGACGTGTCGGGAACACCCACACACCTCCAGAGAGCTCGCTCAACACCGCGGCTCCTGCAGAGCAACGCGCGCTTCGCGTCCCGGCGGGAAAAGTCACACCGGGAAGACCCGGGGAGGACGGTGGGAGCCGCGCATGCGCGCCGGGGCCGGGCGCCCACCCGCGAGCCGCCGCGCTCCCGTCGGGGGTAGGGGCGCGCGCGCGGGCCATGGGTGACCCCCGGGGGGCTTGTGCTGGCCCACGTTCGCACCGAAGGGTAACCTCAACCACGCCCGAGGCACGCAGTGGCCACTGACACACACACACACACCCCACGTGCACTCGGCCCCCACGACGTGGGTCCGCGGAGGGGACCGAAGCCCGCCAAGGGCAAGGCAGGAACTTCCGGGCGGGCGGGCCCGCCACACGCAGCGAGACAATCCTATGTTTCACAGCCACCTCGTGGTGCCCAGGGGAAAGCGGGAGGGCCAAAGTCAGGCCTGCCCCCCGAAACCAGGTTAGGTTGCGAGCCCCCCGAACTCAGCGAAGATCGGGGTTCAAGGACCCGGGTGGACCCCTTGGTCTTCCCCTCCGCAGCCACGCAGAAGAAGGTCCAGCCACTCATCGCCGCAGCAGCCGCAGCCCCAGAAGCTGAAGGAGGCAGGAGCGGGCTCCGCCTCCTCCCGGCCCCGGTGCGAGCGCAGCGCTTGTTACACTAAAGTGTCTCCGCCTTCCCTTTGCCTCCGTGGCAGCGATGGCCGAGTGGTTAAGGCGTTGGACTTGAAATCCAATGGGGTCTCCCCGCGCAGGTTCGAACCCTGCTCGCTGCGGAAGCGGGTGCTTCAGTTTTTCAAAGCCTTTTATACAAAACTACTTCAAAATCCATCATCTCCCTGCGGCTTGTATCCGCCAGATAAAAATCTACGGAATGCTTTAATGGACCCCAAGACCCTGAAGGGTCGGTACTGCGAAGTGCGTGGTTTATAAAGTCGGAAGAAATCTCCCCTAAAGGCCAGAGAGCAGTTTTAGAATCTCGATGTTTGCACGAAGGGCAGACCCAAGAACGATGGAATTCCTGGCTTTCCCAGGATGACAAGCTGTTATTGCCCGCCCTGTAACTAAGGGCATCCTCCCCTTCCCCTGAAAAACCCCGAAGCGCTGCGCAATGGAAAACTTTTTAAAAATAATTCCGCTTTTAATGTGCGCTAAAGTCCGTACCGTGGAACCCACTGAGACGCTGTGTGCCCTCTGCTTTTGACACGGGTCTCACTGTGTTTGCCTGATTAAATCCCAGGTTCCTGGGCTCAAGGGATGTGGCCCCGTGTTCTCCCCGAGCACTGAGATCCCGGAGAGGCGCAGCGGTACCCAGACCGGGCTCGCGATGAAAAGGACGCCAGCAGAGTCCGTGAGTGGAGCACCTGCATTGGCCAAGTGCAAAACTCGGGACGGGTTTGGGACGTTGATGTGGGGTAGCTCTGTCCTCCCTGTCGAAGCATCGTCTCCTTCAGGAAGGGAGGAGGGAGGCTCAGGACGCAGGAAGCGAGGGAGAGTTGCAAGGCCCGGGAGGCTGAGAGAGAGAAGGCTGCAGAAGAGAGGACCCCGGTGGAGTTGTCTGCAAGTGGGGCCGGGAGCAGGGATCCATCTTTCATGAGAGGTCAGCCATGCTGAGGTCGGCTTTTCAGAGGCTGCAGCGACATCTGAGTCACTCAAGGTCTCCTCGGTGACTTCTCACTCATGCTCCTGTAAGTGACACAACAAACGTGATGATTGTTCACCAAGCAGGCTTGAAGAGTCCTTTCTCCGCTCTGAGCTTAGGATCCCTGTTCCCAGGCACCGATCCACGATGGTTTTTGTTTGGTTTGTTTGTTTGGTTTGTTTTTCCATGTCTCCCCAGGAAAAGCCATGGAATAGTTCTGATTACATTTTTGCCAAACATATTCATGTGTGTGCCCATCTGTGTAGAGGAAATGGGCAAGAAAGAGAAAGCAATAGAAAATGATCGGAGGCTAAAAAGAAACACGCTAAAATGCTTGCAGGCATTATTAGCGAATGATTTGGCCAAAAAAATAGCCAGGAGACAGGTTGGTATATCCAGCTGGGAGTTACAGATTTAGAAATAATATGCAAAGAGGTGGTAACTAAAGACAAGGGAGTGTATGGGGCCACTTGAAAGTGTGGAGGCCGGGGCCTGGTACAGGGCCTCAAGAAAAGGGAATGGCCAGTTGTTGCGGATATTTAAAGAAAGAGAGCTGGGTATGTAGTTCAGTTGGTAGTGCCTGCTTAGCATGCTCAAAACTCTGGGATTTTCCCCAGCACCACATAAACTGGATGTGGTCACTGGTAAGATCTGAGGGGGTTTTAATATTTTTAATAGATTTTGTTTGACTGAGATGTCTAAAATTTTATATTGATTCAGTACGGTGGTTTAAATAAGAAAATTATATGAGGTTCACCTTTGGGACCCTGCACATCGTTCTCTGCTCCTGTTCACCCACTTTTACCACATCTTCCATCTGTCTTTTTACCTAACCCCTCCTCCTGGCCTCCATCCATGTCACTTACAAATAATTACACCAGTGTCCTACTTGACCTCCTGATGTCCACAAGCTGCCAACCACAGAAAAGTCAAATCCAGTGGTTAAACACGTGCCTTGTCTAAGAAAGCCTGAGAGACAAATGCCGTTTCCAGATCTAAGAAATTGAAATAATATATGACGTTTCTTATTTATTTACATTGAAAAGTTTAGTATTTTTACTCTGTGCTCAAATATTAATTCAGAGTCTAGCTGGATGGATCAGCAGTTAGGAGCTTTTGCAGAGAACTAGAGTTCAGTTCCCAGCACCCTTGTTAGGAGGTTGGTTATCAACTGCCTGCAATTCCAGCTCCAGAGGATCTGTTCTAACTGTACAGAAGATCACTGAGTTGTACAGACTTTGTATAGATGTGTAGACTGGTTCATTTCAGCACATGATCAGAAACTCCGGGGAGTGAGTGTAGCTGAATATGTGTCTCCTCAATTTATTGGTAAGGAAGAAAGGTAAGTATTGCTGAATTGGTAATTGGTTGTTTCTGCCACACTCCTTTAACAAGAAAATCAAGATGATAAACAGGACTTTCAAGACAGGTCCCCTGCTTGAGTGCAAGGCATGCTCTCTTTTTCTTTTGACTTATTGACAGGCCTCCCGGCATCACATGCTAGCCCTTGTGTGGTGATATATTCTGTACCCTGATAAACTTGCCTGAGGATCAGAGGACAGAGCCGGTCACTAGATTAGACATAGAGGCCAGACAGTGGTGGCACACACCTTTAATCCCAGCACTTGAGATCTAGTGTTTTTGCTTAGGAAGCACACACGCCTTTAATCCCAGGAAGTAATATGGCAGGGCAGAGAAAGGTATATAAGGCATGAGGGAGGAAACAGGAACTCACTCTCTTGAGGCTGAGGGTTCTGTAGAGGTAAGAACTAGTGGCTGGCTGCTCTGCTTCTCTGATCTTTCGGCTTTCACCCTGATACCTGGCTCTGGGATTTTTATTAAAAGACCATCTAAGATTCCAACAACGCCCTCGTCTTTGGTTGTTTTCTGTGTGTTCACGTGCCATTAAAACATCTTTCTTCTCCTGCTTCACGTTTGCTCCTTCATTTGGAGGAGAGGCCTACCCTCTTTAGAGGACTTAATCTCTTTTAAAATACAAATACATACTATTTTTATGTAGCAGCTATTTATTTTTAAGATGGGATTTTACTATGTAGCTCTGGCTTTCCTGGAAGTCACTATAGAACAGACTGACCTCAAACTCACAGAAACCCACCTGCCTGGCTTTCCCGAATGCTGGGATTAAAGGTCTGTGCCACCAGGACCAGCTATTTTTTTTATTTTATGTGTATATGTGTGTATCTATGTATACACACACACTCAGATGTATACACACACACACACACACACACACACACACACACACACACACCTCTCATATGAAAGAGGTTGTGAGCCACTGGTTATGGGTGCTGGGGTCCGAACCTGGTCCATCTGTGAATGTAGCAAGGACTCCTAATCACTGAGCCCTCCTTGTCCTCATTCTGAACATCTCAGTGTGAAGAGGCAATCCATCTCCACCCAACACAGAGAAAGGTGGAAGAGCCAGAGTCTTGCTTTCCCAGCCTCCCCTGCAGACTGGCCCAGCCAGTCAGATGTGCCTTCCCCTAGTATTCAATCAGAAACTATCAATACAAAAAGCAGGCAGGGTAGCAATCCATCCTGGTGATGGACAAAAGCAATATGAGAAAGCCTGGATCCAACCCCACACCATTCTAGCCATGCTCCTCCTCCGGGCTGACTCTTCCTCATCCTGCTACAGGCAGCGTGCCGGAGTTGGCAGTGCTCAGCAATGGGACAACAGTCTATGCATTAGGCTGATTTTTGTGACATTGCTCTGCTGTCTTAGATCCTGCCTATCCTGATGAATACTCCTGCTTCATTTCCCAAAGAGAGAGAGAGAGAGAGAGAGAGAGAGAGAGAGAGAGAGAGAGACTTTGCAGGCTTCCTGAGATAGCAAAATCTATTCCATATTCTTCCAGTAAACTCCCACCCACCCCCAAGACAGAGTTTCTCTGTGTAAGCCTGACTGTCCTGGATCTCTTGCTGTAGACCAGGTTGGCCTCGAACTCACAGAGATCCGCCTGCCTCTGCCTCTCGAGTGCTGGGACTAAAGGTATGCGCTGCCACCACCCAGCTTCCGGTAAACTTCTATGTAAATCGCCTCCCATCTTTATTTTTCCTTCCATACACCATATACAAATTCCCTCTTTATCCCACTATCAACTGGCTGGAAAAACTCAAACTCTGTTTTCCAAGTATCACCTCCTGGATAAAGCATCCCTGTCCCCTCTCAGACTGAAGCCCCTTTAAAACTCCTTCCTTGCAAAGGTGCTGTGGGATGATCCTTCCGTACGCTGAGACTATGTATTGCTCTCATTGGTTAATAATAAAGCTGTTTGACCTATAGAAAGGCAGAATAAAGTCAAACAGGACAATCAAACTGAGGACTCGGATGAAGAAAGGTGGAGTCAAGAGAGATGTGAGCAAGCCCCACTGGAGGGGAGCTCACGTCTGAAGATCTTGCTGCTCCGCGTTTCCCACCCATCCCCTTGGAGACAGCTGGTTTCAGGCAGTCTCTGTGTATTATGGTGCAAGGAATAATAGCATTACCTATGCCTCAGTGGCTCCAGGGAGTAAGAGAAATGAGCTCTGAGCCTGGAATCATCAGGGGAAATGGTCAACCCGTCTGGCTGACTCACTAGAGAAAACTCGGCAACTCAGCTCTTGTTCCAAGGTTTAGTCCCCCAGTCTGCATAAAGATGATGGATGAAGTTCACCCCAGCTCCTAGAAAAGCAGTTTATTCTGCTTCCTTGTGACCTGCTCCCAAAGTCACCAAGGACTTAGATTATTCTTAGCACTTCAGTCAGAGTGTGTGGCTCTGGCTCAGTGCCACCCCTGGCTCATGCAATCCTGGGGTTCAGACCCAGGTCTTGTGCATGTTAGGCAAGTGCTCTACCAGCCAAGCTACACCTTCAGTCCCATCACCCCCACCCCCACCAGCCCCACACACACCTTTTTTTTTTTAAGAGAAGGTCTTGCTATGTAACCCTGGCTGACCCAAAACTCATTACATAGACCAGCCTGGCCTTGAACTAACAGCAGTCTCCTGCCTCTGCCTCCTGAGCTCAGCGATTACAGGCATGCACCACCACATCTGGCTTTCATGGCTGGCTTTAGAAATACAATTCTCCAGCTTGCAACTAAAGTTCTCCTCCCAGCTCTGGCCTACTCCAGTTAAAAGATACATATACTCTCAGCACTTGGGAGGTGAGGCAGGAGGATTAGGAATCGAAGATCATTCTTGGCTACAAAGTGAGTATGAGGCCATTCTGAACTACATGAGACCCTATCTCAAAATAAAAGAAATAGGGGGTTGGGATTTGGCTCAGTGGTAGAGCGCTTGCCTAGCAAGCACAAGGCTCTGGGTTCGGTCCTCAGCTCCGGAAAAAAAAATAAAATAAAATGGATAATAATAATAATACACACATACATACATATATCTGAACCATATGCTATGTGTCAATAATCCCCAACTATGAGATAACCTATTCCTAGAAAGAAAACACTGATTTGGGGAAGTTGTCTCCTGGGCTGTCTTAGAATGGGCAAATAAATCTGTCCAGATGATGTCATCTCTGCATAGACATTGTACTGAACACCTCTCTTGCCTGCTCAAAGAAGCACACATACACACACACACACACACACACACACACACACATTATCACCATAAATTCCCATGGCTAACATAGTAAAAACCGAACTCCCTAATTTTATGCCTTCCTAATTCATCCCTAATCTCTACTCAATCCTGCCTACTCCCCACGTGACCCATAGAGGCAGTTGGACTGGCTTATACCCCCTCACAGAACAGGCTCACTATTCCTAGCCCTTCCACACTCTGGCACCATTGGCTCGAACCCTCTCTGGGACTGGAGAGAGGGCTCAGCAGCTAAGTGCACTGTGCTGCTTTTGGAAGACCCAGGTTTGGTTCCCAGCACCCATGTGGTGACTCAACCATCTGTAACTCCAATTCCAGGGGATCTGATGCCCTCTTCTGACCGCCGAGGGCACCAGGCATAAACACGGTATATATACATACTGACAAACACTCGTACACATAAATAAGTCTTTTTTTTTTTTTTTTTTTTGGTTTTTT